AACAAGTTGGCCAGGGAAGTGTGGAGTCTCCATCCCTAGAGGGATTTAAAAGATGTGTAGGTGAGGGGTTAGGAACATGGTTTAATGGTAGACTTGGCAGTGTTGGGTTGATAGTTGGCCTCAGTGATTTTAAAGGTCCTTTCCAAACTAAATGATTCTATGACTCTATTACATTTCTTTTGATTTTTTTCTGTTATGTCATCTCTCTATATTATTTATATATTTCCCTTGTCTAGCCTTTCTCTCCCTTTTGTATGATCTTCCTTTCCTCATAAGAACATTGTCCTGTTCTCTTAAAAGCAAGGGGAAGACCATTTCTCACCTGGCTATCCAAGGTTTAGATTAGTCAACTTTTAGCCACATCTGAAGCTGCAAGGGTGGAATCTAAGCTATTTGGAAAGCTCAGACCTTGACAGCTGCTTCCTTGGCTTCATTGAGAAGCATATATCCCTTTTGGCATAGGCTATTAGCTTTGAAGCCAATCACCAGCAGAGCTATTCATTAGCTTGCAGTGTAAAAACACTGATAGCCCTGAGTGGGAGACAGCTGAATGCTGGAGAGAAATTAAAGGCAGAAAGATTATGACCTTTTCAGGGTGAGAGGACACAAGATGCTTCATGAAAAAGAAGTGGAACAAGTGGGTATGAAGTGGTAAAAGATAAATACAACATGATACAAAGTACTGATGACACACAATTATAAAAGCAGGCTGTTGGTCTAGATCTGAAGTTCCTGAAGGCAACTGCTTGTGTAGACCAACCATTTTGTCCTGTGTCCACATTGTCTATATGTCTCTTGGAACATTTTTACAGTTGTTATGTATATAGACTTCTTGCACATCCTTCCTTGTCATGGCCTCTAAGAGTTTCTTGCCATTACATATAATATACAAAACTGGTGGTAAAGGGCAGTGTGTGTGGACTTGCACAGACAATCACCTCAAAATTGTAAATTACAACAAACTACATCCATTATTGCTAACTTTTGATTCCCCACAGAAGTGTGAATAATTTGAGAAAATACCTGAATTACAGTTTTAGTGCTACTACAGTGACACAAGGACTCTGTGGTAGATTCCAATTATGTGGAAGGAGTACTGCAGGAAGGTTTAGAGGTATTGTCTGAGGAAGGATGAAGAAAGCTGTCTGAAGGTCAGTCTGGAAATTTTGGCAAATTGAAAGAAATCTCTTAGTGTGAAGGAGCAAGAATCAGGATGGGAGCGGTTTCAGGAGCGGAAAAGGATATACAGCAATTGAAAGGACTTTGTTATACGGACTCCGGGAATAATATGTGGTTTAAAAATAGGACATATTTATTTAGCATTTTTTTCTTTGTTCATGAAAAATAGTAAGTTTCTTCCAGGAGCAAACAAATGAGGTTGTTCTGAAAAATTTCTAAACTCTGGTTCATCTCAGGATATTTATTTCAGCTAGCTTTTTGCTGCATGGAAACTTTGATTACTTTTAGAAGTAACAGTTGGGCTGGATAAGCATGATACATTTTTCCAAATTGTATCATCTCTGGCTATTTCAAAGCAACCAAAATGAAACTTGCGGGGCTAAGACAAAAGGCACTGTGGTGTACTTTTAATCACTTTATCCTAAATTGAGTTGTTGTACTTAAAAAGGCTGCAACTAAAATTATCTGTATCACAACTAACAAACTAATAGCTTAGATTACTTTTTTGTAATAGAAATTAGATAAAACTCTATAGCTGAGAAGAATATTTCACACCAGCAGTGTTGAACAGACAACAACTCCAGCTCCATTCAAGTTAACAGCAATGTTGCGAGTCATGTTCTGTGTCAGAGAAACCTTTCTTTGACAATTTTCAACAGACATAACAAGGTGTGTTTTCATGAAAAATCTTTGCACCTTCCTCCAATGGCTAATGATGAATACAGCTCACAGTTTCTCATCTAGGTCTTTTTAGCTTGTAGGAAACCAGGTCTAAAACCCTCCTAGACCTTTATCAGGCTTTTGGATTCAATTTCCTTTTCAATTTTGATTTTGGATTAATCAGTGGAAGAATCACAGTTATAATATTATTTTCTGTAACAGGAAATGATCTTGAAGATTTTCTAACATTTCTTTATTCTTTTCTCTAGCTTAAGTTCATCTTTCAGACTTCCATACATATCAATGCCCTTTACACAGCAACATCTTAACATTATTTATACTGGTTTGCATACAAAATATCTTTTGTTTTCTTGCAAAAGTTTTACTAGTTTTAGGTTTTTTCAGATGAAAAAATAAAATTTTAAAAAAAATATGTGAAGGCATATTTTCTTTTATTGGGCTGTTTACTTCTGTAAACACATTTTGACTACAAAGTGAATATTTCATAGTATTTTTAAAATAAGTACAATCTTCTATCAGATACCAGGTTTATTTTTTCACGTTTCGTAACTTTTTTTTTAGATTATCTAGAAGCCAACAGACCAGTTTAAACTCTATATACTTAAATGATTTTATTTAATTTGAATAGTTCTTAATATTTTATTGATTTTTAATTTAATGAAATTGTCCTGATAACTCTCTGCCCCTTTAAAAAACTCTTCTCCTATCTGAGTAATAATACTATTTTGCCTTTAAAACATATCATTCAGTTATTTGCTTAAAATTATTCCAATTTCATATTTGGGCTCTTTGATTCACACAAAATTACTGGAGCAAAGCCTCCTCTCTTGCTAACAAAGGCACAGTGGCACGTTATTAAGAAAAGGAAGACTAGGAAAAATGTGGGCCCTTTTTTTGCCTCAGTCTTCATCATGGAGTGCTCCAGGCACACCGGTTGCAGAAGGCAAGGCAGGGGCTGGGAGAATGACAACATTGCACTGTAGGAGAAGATCAGATTAGGGAACATCTAAGAAAACCTGAAGGTGCACAAGTTGATGGGACCTGATAAGAAACATTGGTGGGTCATGAGGGAACTGGAAGATGAAGTTTCTAAGCCACTATCCACCATACTTGAGAAATTGTGACAGTTTGGTGAGGTTCCCATTGACTGGAAAAGGGGAAACATCTCATTAAGATGTGCCTTCTCTCATATTGAGGTAATGAGGAACAGATTTTTTTCTAGAAACCCAGTGGCTTTTTCTCTTTTCTAGAAACCTCCTGCAGCTCTGATATCAGCTGAAGGAGATTATTCTGAGGAAAAATCCAATCTTCGAATAACACAGCGAATGTGAGCCAGCCATGCATCTTTCTCTGCAGTAATTGCTATGAGGAATGACTCTGCAGGTCATCCTGTCTTTTTTGTTGTGGCTGGTTAGTTGGTTTTGGTTTGGTTTGGAGGGTCCATTTAAAATGTAGTACGTGGTGATAAATTATCTATGACTTTTTCATGTAGCTCTCAAAGATGGCATAGGAGGACTTTGGACAGAGTGGGGACACACAAAGAGATACACGATAACAGATACGAAGGGCATGCTCCTTCAAAGCACTAATCATAAGCTGTGTACACAATAGAACACAATTCCCAACTCAAGATGTACATCTATCACAAGGAGAGCTACAGACACTGATCATTACTGTAAAAGCAAGGAGGAGACCCTGCAGGCAAGTTTGTTATGAGGCACAGAAAATACCTATTTTGCTGTATGTCCCAATAGGGACGATCTAGGGAAAAGGCAACAGTGTCACAAAACTGTCAGCCAAAAGGCAAAGCTTAGTAGCACAAGGTACTGCCCCAGTGAATTAAGAAGGGTGAGCGATATTACAATTAGCTTCTGGACTTTGTCTGGATCATAGAAGAGTGAAAGTGTCATGAAACATGATCTGTAGTATTTCTCTATGGCGTGACAAAACATAGCACCTGGAATTTATGGTGATCTAGGATACGGGATTTTTTAATTTTGTTTTTCTAAGCTTTTTTTCTTTTCAATAATTAGAGTATTGCCATTTCCCCTTTTAAAGTCATATCTGGCAAGCTACTGACAGACTAAGGAGATTCTTCTAGCTAGAGGACTTCTCATATCTTCCTCTCTCCTCCTGCCCTTCCATTCCCCTTCATACATCAGTTTAAAACTACTTAGTGCTATGGTATTTTTTTTTGGTATTAGTGTCTAGCCCTAACCTGCTTCAGACCAGTTCAAGGGATTTCTAAAACAACAAACATCACACAACAGTGTTGCTGCACTATGGCTACATACTGTACAGCCAACAAACCAACAAGCAGTGGAGTTTATGTTATGACTTAACAACTCAGCCACTGTGCTCCTCTCTGTTCAGCATCCTGATTAGTGATAGTGGCCTGAATTGGAGTTGTAATCAGGAGTTTTGATCTGAATCAGGCCATTACCAGAAGTGCCAAACTAAGCATACTGAAGAGCAGAGCTCTCTATTATCCAGAGGTGCAGTAAAAGTAGAAGCTTTCTCACAGTAATTTACTTGTGTATCTCAATGTCTGTTCATGGAAGTTTAAAATTATAAACTTAACCATTAGATGTATCTAAAACAACAACTGAGAAGTTATTTAAATGAAAAGTAAAGAAAACTCAGGGCTGCAAACACCATTCTTCTGAAGAGAACAATAATATCTGACACAGTCTAGAATTCCATTTTAAATTTTACATTCTTGACTGCAGTGGCATTACAGAAAATATTATGCACACAAACACATTAGAAATTTCATGAATATTACTAAAATCTTAGCGTACACCTGTGGGAAGGGTATTATTTTGCTGACTGAAAAAGATACTGTATGTAGAGAAGCTGAGGCATAAAAGAGTTAAGCAAGTTGATCAAATTTACAAAGCAAATCCTTTGCAAAAAAAGAACAAACCTAATCTCACAGTTTTCAGTCTGTGTCTTTCCCCTAAAATCATTATTCTTCCCCTTCCAGTTGTGATTTAGCAGTGTAGTAGCAACACAGTAGTTGTTTAATTCTCTCACCCCGATACAGACTGTATTTATACATTAAATAATGTACTTTTGCAAACAGGAGAGTTTTGTTAACACTTGGAATTGTGGAAATTAACAAAACCAGAGTAGCTTACCCAAATCCAGAAAACAAGCGACAGAAGAGGAAGAAGCCATAGCCCTGGACAAATGATGAAAGGAAGGCAAAGAATCCATTGACAGACATACATATCAGGAGTGACTGTCTCCTTCCCACCTTGTCTGCCAAGCCTCCCCAGAAGAATGCCCCCACCATCATCCCAAGGTACACTATGCTACCTGTAATACACAAAAAAAAAGATATTATTTTGTGAGCATCATAACTTGACCACAATTGATGACACCAAAACCAGTTAATCTTCTATATTTATGAAAAAATTACTATACAAATTATTTTATCCTTTCTCACTACATAGAAATTCCAGAAAATAAGCAGTCTTGTAGGAGATTAATCATTAGGAATAATATGTCTAAATCTAAAGAAAATTGATTGTGAAACACACACTTTCTACTTGAGATCTACAGAACTGAAAACGTCCAGCTTGACAGTCTTTTTCTCACTCCTTCTTCAGGGTATTACTTCATTTAAAAAGGCGATGTCCTTTATAAGCAAAAGCACTCTACTGTTCTTGATTCATTATTTTGGGTTTTTCTGTTGTGTTTTCCCCCCAAAGAATTTTAAACAAGTACATTACAGTTTAGCTATATATATTAAAATGACATATGTAAAAATAATTTTGAGATTTTTTTTAACATTAATGATGTTTTCCACATGAAATACTTTCTCACAGAAAGATAAGTTGAAATATTTAACATTTTGACCATTCACATTATAACATATTGTACATTATTTCCTTTTCAAGGACAAACTCCCAGTGGAACACTTGACAAAGATACACAACACATTCAGCAGGTTGTCAGAAGGAAAAAACAATTGCCAAATTTTCGATAGCACCATCAAATTTGTTTGATATATGTAATTCTTTTTTTGTCTACTCTCTTATTGAACTTCCCAGGTTGGGTTTTATACACCTAGCATATTGCTACCATCTTATACATCTACTAGAGAGCAGACATTAACTATAAAGGTGCTGGAAGCACTTAAAATACTAGCAATCCTTGCTTTGTGTCTCTGTTTGATAAGTCTCGAGAATGGACAAATTCTCCAGCATCTCTGCTGAACTTTAATTGCTGTTGTCTAAAATTCTGGCCTTCCAAAGAATCGGCTCTGCCCTGAAGAAGGTGGTTGGATGGGAAAGGAAGCTGAAATAAAACATTTAAATACCTGGACTTGGTTAAAGACTTATTAATGTAGAGGTTAATCATCAGTATTTCCATGCTTGGAATTCCAAATGATAACATCTGAAGTGCTGGCATCTGCGAAGCCTCATGCACCCCAAATTGTCCCTGTTTCTCCTTGTGTTTTTACAAGTAGTTTTCACTGCTCCTTCCTTATGAGACATAATTTAAAACTATTTGATAAAACACATGTGTTAAATGTATATTAGCAAGATCATAGAATCATAGAATTGCTTAGGTTAAAAGGCTTCTCAAAGATCATCCAGTTTCAATTCCTCTCCCATGGGTAAAGACACCTTCCACTGGACCAGATTGTTCAAAGCTCCATCTAACCCCAGCACAGGATAACAGATCCATTGCTGCTCATCACAAGAGAATTGTGAAAGCAGCAAACTGCTTAAGAACAACAGCTAAGTCTCTTCGCAAAATAACTTTTGTCAATGGACATTTTCTGGGTGTTGTTGGGTTCTCAGTCTTTCACCAAAGAATGCTGATGAGAATGTGGATAAATCCAAAATCTGCAGAATTACTAAGATATCTCAGTTTGCTTTTCTCTTAGCCCAGGAAGGACACAATAATTTTTTTGTTTTAGAGGCGTTTAGGAGCAGATATTTATCAAGTAGTTCCTCCATTCTGATCAGAAATTTTTATTTCACTAGTTGAGATTTTCACGAGAATGCACACAGCTCATGCATTTACTAGTCCTAAAAAGAAAAAGACTGATGACTCAGGTAGCATATTCACTCAACTGCTTTAAGATCTCTCCTGAGGTCAAGGTTACTGTACCATGCTGCAGGTGGATCACTGCTTATTAGCAGTTTGGAAACTCCATCCCACAAGATCCTTTGTCAGTAGCAGTTCAAAGAGCATAAAGAAAATATAGTTAAACAGCTGCATTGCCAGCAGACCAATTTCAAAAAAGCAAAGAAAATGGTTGATTTTTACTCTTTAAGTGAAATTCCTTATATTCTTTCATATATAAATGTCATTGGGCTTTTCCAATCATCACTCTAATATAAGAAATAGAGAAAGCCAATGAAATATTTCTTTATATTGTGCTGGTTTAAAGGTAAACCAGCAGGGTAAAATGAACTCAATCCAAAAGAGAGATTATAAGTCAGAATAACAATTTAATAAAATAACACAATAAGTATGATTATACAGACAAACAATTGGTTTTAACCCACAAAACCCAAATGTATAACCCAGCACCCTGGGGCATGAACACAGTGGTGTTTGTTGGGCCCCCTGGGTCCCAAGTAAAGGGAGAGGGGAAAAAGGGAGAGTGCTGTTGCAGTCTGGTCAAGAGTGGTGATTGCAGTCCAGTCGAGGGTGGTGGTTGCAGTCTGGTTGAGAGTGGTGGTCTGCAGTTCGGTTGAGAGCGGTGATCTGCAGCCTTCCTCTGGATCCCATGAGTGATTAAAAAAGTCCCAAGACTCCAAGATTATATATCCTCCAGTTCAGGCAGGAATGCCCAGTACCTCCTTCAGGGCGGGGGGTTCCTCAATGGGCATGAGGACAGGAGCACCCTCCTATCTCGCAGGCCTCTTAACACCCAGTTTATAGCCTGAGGAGTCAGGCTCTATGTGCAGATAATGTAAATGGTTCATTGATAACAGTTTCCGGGAAATGGCATGGAAGGCTATAGAATACACAGTTTTGGGTTACACCCATAATGATGAACTGGTCCCAGCTGTTCTAACTAGGACAATATACATTACTTTGAAATATTTTTATGCAAATAATCTAAATTTTACCAAGTAATTTCTTTCCTTGCAACACACAGAAATATCAAAACACTATGAATGATGAAAGAAAAAATGTTTCCAAGTCTTGAGAGTTTAAAGACATTAACCTTCTTTTTAGATGACAAATCCTTTGGTCATTTTACTGTGCTTTGAACTCTTATGTTGGTGTAATTCTCCTAAAGAGCATTCAAAAGATGTTGCTAAAAATAATATTCTCATCCTGTCAATAAACTGCTATAAATAGGCTGCTCTCTGAGCTGCAGCATTAACTTATTCTTTCCCATTATATTAACTTTGAATTTTTTTCTAATTGCCTTTCAGACCCTGCGCAATCCGTCTCCCTGACCAAAGGTCTGTATCTCTTCCATCCTGAACCTACTGTAGCTACCAATGACACTTATTTTAATGCTTTTTCCTGCCTTTTTCTTTTTCATATTTTCTGTCTTTCTTCATACAGAACATCATAGAATCATAGAATGGTTTGAGTTGGAAGGGACCATAAAGCTCATCTTGTTCCAACATCCCCATCATGGGCACAGGCAACTTCCATAAGACCAGACTGCTCAGAGTCCCATCCAACCTGGCCTTGAACATTCCCAGGGATGGGGGATCCACAATCTCTCTGGTCAACCTCTTCCAGTGCCTCACTACACTCATAGTGAAGAATTACTTCCTTATCTAAACCTGATGGCTTCTGAACCTTTTCCAAACTCTGGGCATCTCTTGTTAGCACTGGCATCAAATTGTTAGGAGCGGGATAGATTGAGGTTCCCCTCCCCCGTAAATTTTAGTTTAAACCCTGTCTGCAGCCTGTAAAGGAAGCCCTGTTTCAAATCATTCCTTAAGACCTTCTTCCCCTGCAGCAATATTCACAAGAAGTCATAAAAGTGACAAACGCAAAGGAGAACTGTGAACAGTTAAAACGGCTGAACAACCACATCATGGCTAGGTTTTGTGAACAAAGATTTGGGAATGGCTCTACCCACATTTGTTGCAAGCACGTTGGTGGCTAAAAAGGCCAGTACAAGATAGACACGTCCGGTTGCAGAAGGCACAGCAGAAAGACTCCTTAGATGGTATACTCTGCCAGGCACAATTCTTTCTGTGTTGTCTTTTCTCCTCAGGGGTGATCCTGCGTGCTTTCTCAAAAGCATCAGCAGCGTTATAGATGGTGTGTCTCCAGGCCTCCCGATTGGAGGCCAGAGTAGACCAGTTATGGTGATCAATATGGCCAAGGCTGAGATGTTGTTTCAGGGAGTCCTTGTATCTTCTCTTTAGGGCTCCTCTCTTGCAGCAGCCGGTGGCAAGTTCACCATAAAGCAAGATCTTAGGGAGGCGGTGGTCCTTCATCCTGGAGACGTGCCCTTGAGACGTGCCCTGCCCAATGCAGCTGTGTTCTCAGCAATATGGCCTCAATACTTGTGACTCCTGTTTGTTCTAGAACAGATGTATTGGTCACATAATCTGAACAGTGGATGTTTAGGATTGTGCGGAGACAGCGTTGATGGAAGTGTTCTAGGAGACGCAGGTGGTGGCGGTAGATGACCCATGATTCAGAGCCGTATAAGAAAGTAGACAGCACTACGGCTCTGTAAACACTGATCTTTGTACTTTTCTTCAGGTGTTTATTTCGCCAAACTCTTTTATGAAGCTTTCCAAAAGCACTATATGCCTTTGTTAACCTGTTGTCTATCTCTCCTTCAATCTTACCATCCGAGGAGATGAGGCTACCTAGGTAATTAAACTGCTGGACTGACTTGAGCTCTGATTCACCAATGGTGATATGGGGATGAAGGAAGACTTCCTGAGGTGCTGGTTGATGGAGAACTTCTGTCTTCTTTAAGCTGACTTCCAGCCCAAAGAGCTCAGCAGCGTCTGCAAAGCAGGATGTTAAACGCTGCAGAGCTGCTTCTGTGTGGGCAACAAGGGCAGCATCATCAGCATAAAGCAGCTCCCGGACAAGATGATTTAAGGTCTTAGTGTGGGCCTTCAGTCGCCTTAGGTTGAATAGGCTTCCATCAGTACGGTATTGGACATAGATACCGTCCTGATCATTGAGGTCTGCTGTGGCCCTTTGGAGCATCATGCTGAAAAAGACTGTGAATAGGGTTGGTGATGGAACGCAGCCTTGTTTCACACCATTAGTTATTAGAAAGGGTTCAGAAAGTGCATCGCCATATCTGACTTGGCCATGTTGATCCTCATGGAGAGAGATGATCATTTTAAGGAACT